ATGAGGATCGTGTGAACTCACAATGAGCTCATATACTACTCACACCGTAAGGATCACAGTATGAGGATAGTTTGTGTAACAGGGCTGACAAGACGTGAGACATGTGGATCCATCTGCAGGCTTTATTTAAGAGACGTGGTAAACAGGCAGGGTCAAAACACTGGCAAACAGGTATATGGCGGGCAAAACACAAGAATAGTCACAGGGCTAGCGTAGGTCACCGATAAGCAGACAGAATCACAGGGGCAAGACGAGAGGGAGAAATCCAAGAAAACAGGCAAAGATCAAAAACCGCAAAAACAGGCAAGGCAAGGCAAAACAAGGAAACCACGGAGACTCGGAAAGGGGTACAGGCTAAACAATACTCAGCTGAGAAAGGTGGTTGGAGTGGGTGGTATATAGTGAATGAGGTAATTAGAAACAGCTCTGTGCAATGAGTGCAATCAGGGCAGTGTGCAAATTGTGCAAAGAATGATGGGAAATGTAGTCCGGGGTGCTATGCAACAGTTTGTGTAGTGCGAGAGTCAATGTAATGGAAAGGGGGACATCTGGTGGTGAATATACGGAAGTCCATGAACCGAATTCGTGACGCGATCTTTTGACGCTCTCGCCGCCGGCGGTGTGAACGCACAGTAATGAATGTCAAACGTCAAACTAACTTTACCGCCGTATCTGAGCTATGGCTTCAGTGCTGTCAGTGGCCCATTTTTGAAAACTGTGGCATCTGCGGAATTTTTTTCACCTAGGCTACATCACAGTCAACAAGTGTATCATGTCCTAAATCAAATCAGACAGGGGCAATATCACACCAGTTTTACCCATGTGTTGACAGTTTGTCGCATGTGAAGAGAATAACAGGCTAGCTGTGTTCCAAATGATGTAATGCGCACTATGATGTACTAGGCTATACCCTGTAGTCTATGAAATTTATTCAAGGTTATTTTGTCATATAACATCTGAAATATGATAAGAGTTTAAACATTTTCTGTTAAATATGTGCATCATTCGCGCATTTGAAATGCGCTTCTTTAATATGGCACATGTGCACAAGGCCTACGCAAATTGGGACGCACTAAGGCTTAATTTTCTTCTGGAAAGATGCTCTTGCAAAATAATGTCTCTGACTCTCCGAATAACCATATTATGAAACTGAAAGTTGGATATTTCAGAAAACCTATTTTTTAAAAAAAACTTGTCTGAGTAACCGTATAGCAACACCGTCCCAGATCTCTTTTGGCATAACAGAGCTGTCATTATTTATCACTTAATTGTAAATGTACATATTATACATATTACAAAATATTTTGCTGGTACTCTTTAGGATTTTTATGTAGTGCGCTGCAGCTATACTACAACGACCAGACTCCTATGCGGTAATGTTTCAACTGCATATTTTCCAGTGCGATGCTGTACCAGAGTAGTTTAAAATAGGGCGTTTATGTTTCTCCTCCATTCATTTGCAGAGAGGAGACGCTCGCGTCCACATAAAGAGCAGTAGGCGGTGCGTCACCGAAAGCCTGCCCAATTTTAATGAACAGTGACAACGGGCTCCGCTTTCACCGTGGTTAATAGTACAGTATTCTGTTGGGGAGGTAAGTCTGTTTGTTGTTTTTGACCTATAACTTTTAAACTCGCTTCGTTTTGTATGAATTATTCGATGTTGCAGGTCCCCACCCCTCATTCTGCACTGAAGATCTGCTTTAACAGAGCTGTAAAATCTGAATTGTAATGCAAACGCGCACTACGTCGCATATTATATTAAATAAGTGCATGGAGTTGCATGATTTCACGTGTAACGCTGGACTCGTTTGTTGTAAACAGGGCAGTTCAGTGAGGAAATGTCCAAGTTATTCCGGGCTGTTATCATGGGTCCACCAGGCTCGGGGAAGGGGACCATATCGGAGAGGATCGCGCACTTTTTGACCTATAACTTTTAAACTCGCTTCGTTTTGTATGAATTATTCGATGTTGCAGGTCCCCACCCCTCATTCTGCACTGAAGATCTGCTTTAACAGAGCTGTAAAATCTGAATTGTAATGCAAACGCGCACTACGTCGCATATTATATTAAATAAGTGCATGAGTTGCATGATTTCACGTGTAACGCTGGACTCGTTTGTTGTAAACAGGGCAGTTCAGTGAGGAAATGTCCAAGTTATTCCGGGCTGTTATCATGGGTCCACCAGGCTCGGGGAAGGGGACCATATCGGAGAGGATCGCGCAGAGTTTCGGCCTTAAACATTTATCCAGTGGAGACTTTGTTCGAGAAAACATCGCTGCGAAAACTGGTGCGTGCTCTTCAAAAATGTGCAAAACTTTTAATTTTCCTCGGTAGCTCTGGAAACTGTAGATGCCAACAAATGCTAGATTGGCATCTCGCTAGGTTTTGAGACACAGCCACTGTTAAACAGAAGGGATTCGTTGATCAGATGAAGGGGCGTAACCACTGTTGTGGTTTATATGTTAAGATTAGCTGTTTATCGACTCTTTAACTTCAACATTTGGTCCTCCCAATTTGGAATATGTGGTTAGTATAACCTCGGGCGTCATGATGTGTGAGTACATGTGAGGTAAATGCCTTAAAAAGTTGCCATGCTGGCAAGATGCCACTCCACATTTCTGTTTTATTGCACTGTTGCTATGCCCAACTCCCTTATTAAGGCTTCAGCTGGCATTCATACATGTAGATAAAGACAGAGAAATGTTCATGCTAATCAACATATCGCATACTAGTTAACACATTACTTAGAGTAGACTTTTTATTCATGCTCAGTAAAGTTATCATGGTTGGCAAATCCTTTTAGTATAAAGCCTTAGGTTATAAAGAATGTAGCTTTTTTTGAGAGAAAATTATGATTTAGGTAACTTTTTGCATTAACACACATTTTTTCCCATTTATACTACATTTATTTGTGCATTAGACTTTGAAAACCAAAGAAATACACTAAAAATCAATAGCTGTTGCAAATTGTAAAATGTTGTAATTTGTGTAGTGACATTAGGACCTTTATCATATTTTATTATTTGTATGCTTGTAGATAAAATTCTAAATGAAATGATTGGGTGTCAGTGTCTCAAAACTCTCATGTGACTGTTCCGATCTATTATATGATTAACACTCTAGTTGCTGGTTAAAATCATATGATTAATAATTGATTTGTCTCAGTTAAAGTTTATGTGTGCATTTTAAATATGAACATAAGTAGATATAAACAATATATTAAAATCTTATTAGCTTCCATTCTTGAATAAACGTCATAGGAAGCAGCTTATTAAAGATATGTGTAAAGCCATAGGTTTGATGATTAGTGTGGGAGATGTGTGTTCCATTCATTGTCTTTTCTGCAGAGGCTGGTGTTCAAGCTAAGACGTATATAAAAAAAGGATTGCTGGTACCAGACCTTGTCATGACACGTCTTCTGCTGCCTAGATTGGAGGAGATGACCAAATACAGCTGGTTGTTGGATGGTATGGTGGTAAATCACATTTAATACTTGATCCTTTTTCTATAATATTTGTTTAAGACTTAGCTAAAGCTAAATCTCTTTAGGGGAACTTTGTTAGGGAACTTTCATTTCTTCATTCAACAGAAACTCAAAACAATCTGTAGTGTTAGGAAGTAAGCTAGGAGTATTGAAAATGTCTTGCCTTTTATTGCCTATTTCTATTTTTATCAACTGATTACTGATTTGTGAGACCAGAAAGTCAAGATGTAACAGATGCTAGCTTAGAAAGTCCAAGCTCCTAAAATAGAATGATAGGATATTAAACATTGACTTAAAAAGATGTGCAGCGTGACCTACAAAACAGGTTTAAATATTCTTGCTTCATGGAGTACAACTAGTGTTCCTTTACCGCAGGACTGTAAACATTATAACTGAAACTGCAAAGGCTAATCCTAAAGCTTAATATTGAAGTAAACTAACAAAAAAGTAACTACACCCAGTTATAAATAATGAAAGTAGATCCCCCACTGCCAAGTCTATAATGATACAAAACAGTGTAATACCCTGCGCCCAATGAGGATGTAGTATTGCAACACTTGACATTTATGCATAGTTGCGAAACTACATTTTGCAACTAAAGTGGCATTTCAAAATACCATTTATAACCTAAAGCTAATATTGTAAAATGTTATAATCAAATAAGGAAATGTAATTACTCATGTGAATAATCCATTTGGGCCTGTATTCAAGTATTAGAAGTCATTTGTGCACTCACCCTCCAGGTTTCCCTCGAACACTAGCTCAGGCTGAAGCCCTGAACAGTGCCTGTGATCTGGATGTAGCCATCAATCTCAACATTCCTTTGGAAACACTGAAGGAAAGGCTGCGACATCGATGGATACATCCACCCAGTGGCAGAGTGTACAACATGTGCTTCAATCCTCCCCGCATCCAGGTGAACATTTTCTTTCAGCTAACTTTGGCAAGGTTCTCCCAAAGTTACGAAACATTCTTTAAATAATGTTAACAGAATGTCTATTCAAAATTATCTGGGTTTTAATAATCTCAAAATGCTAGCATAAAAATGTTATTTATACATTGCTCATGGATCATTTTTTTCCTGAAACGTTTTTAGCTGGGGGTAAAGTTTTTTGTTTCAGAATGGTCAGAGACCATTCAAAATTAACTTTACCATAATGTTGGCAGAATGATAAAATGGAATGCTCCCTTAACATTCATATAACCAAGAAAAAACCTTTTGAAAAATTAAAATGACAGTGAGCAAAACAATCTAAGAACATATTTTTGTTAACTGGGTATGTAGCAACATTAAAATAGCGAAAAGTTAGTAGGTTTTGAAGGAATAATGAATGTGAAAAACCGCCATTCCCTTATATAATTGTTTCTGCAAAAAAAACCTTCATATTTAAACTCATACTACTCATTCCTATTCCTGATTTCTAAGGAGCACACATTTCTATGCACTGGAAAGATTTGGACAGCAGGGCAGCATCAGAAATACATTGTAAAACCTGGTAACCTGCAACTGTTACCTTACCTAATCTGACTCATGAAAATAGTTTTGTTTGTGTAAATCTGTCACGGTCCAGGTGTGTGGAGGCAGGCAGGATGACGAGGACGACAAGGATATTTAATGTAGCAACAACAAGGCAGAGACAGACACACACTCGGGGTAACATTTACAATAACCGACCAACTAGAACACAAGAGACAGGAACAGATATAGGGCAGTTAACGAGGGACCGACAGGTGAGCACAATGAGGTGATTAACTAATAATTAGATGGGCTAAACCAAAACAAGGGGAAGAAACCACAACAAACAGTCCACAGGGGTGTTACAAAATCAATGTATTTAGGCTGATTTACTGATATTAAATAATGTTTTTAACTGGAATAAAACCCATTAATTTAGATGTTACCATTTAGTTAATTTTTTTTAGTCTGGATGACTCCCTGTACTTACCACTGAACTAGGCAGTGGATTGAGACACAAAAGTGTGAGTTGTGTGTTCACACTGAGTAACATAGTGAGAATGAAACATAATTTTCTTCAAATGGAAAACAGTAAATGCTTCTGCATAGCAGAATTTAATTTCTACATTTTAAACTACCCTTATAAATCTCATCTACCTTCTTGCATTAGTTCCAGCGTTAAAGACCCCTGAACCAGCTAATAAAGGTCTTTGAAATTACTCCAAAATTACAGCCAGGTGTTTTGAAGCAGGGTTGGATCTAAACTCTGGCCCTCTAGGAGAACTGAACCTCTTGGTAGACCCCTGATTTACGGGCTTATTTCACAAAAACCTGTATTTTGGCCAGAAGTGACGGTTTAAAGTTAAGTTGCCTTTATGATTGGTTTCTTACAAACATGCACTGCAATGAAGTTAATTACTTGTGGATTATTGTGATGTTTTTATCAGCTGTTTGAACCCTCATTCAGAAAGTGATTCTCTGCTGTGAAATCTCAATGCAGAGAATCCATTGGTTAGGAAGTGATGTAATGCTAAACTTCTCCAAATCTGTTCTGATGAAGACATAAACTCATCTACATCTTGGATGGTCTGAGGGTGAGTAAACTTTGAGCAAATGATCAGTCTTGGGTGAGCTATTCCTTTAACTGCACCCTACTGACATTAAAAAATATTGTCCTATGCGTTTACTATCGTTATATTACATCTATACATCTTTCTTGTAGCTTGTACTATTGTGGGCAATGTATGAAACTTTGTATTGCTAGCATGACGTTATTGCCTCCTTATGATAAATCACTTGTTGCATTCCTCA